CTGAACTCATAAGTTTCTCTACGATTTATACAAGAATCGGGTAAAAGCGCACAAAAACCAACGAAAAATTTTCTCCCGGAATTTTCATATTGTCGCCGACACTTAACAGTGATTATATGCGTATTTTTCCGCGATGGAGTTTCACCCGTTTTACGTGAAGTGGTGGTATGCAGTAGTCGTGAAATATATTTTCACTGGTGTTTTCCATATCACTAGGGAATATATCATTTTATGATTTCTTCTCAGGAGAGTTGCCCACATGATGGAATTCGTGCCAAAGAATAACAGACTTCTCGGCCTCAACGTTAACCGAGGTTTAGCAGTGAAGATACGCCTTCGTCGCAACAGGGATCCAGGACACTTTCTGTCGTATATGGATATCCTTGGTAATTTATTTGTAGTCGTAAAAGTCGCATAAATCGGTTCCCATGCTAATTCAATTGTAGTCGTCAAAGTTGCATAAATCAGTATATATGGAAGTTCTCAGTAATCTAATTGTAGTCATAAAAGTTGCATAAATCGGTTGACTGTTGTATATGGACGTCCTTGGTGATTTAATTGTAGTCGTAAAAGTTGCATAAATCGGTCGGCTGTCGTATAGGGACGTCCTCACTAATTTAATTATAGTCGTGAAAGTTGCATAAATCAGCTCATATGGAACTCCTCACTAATTTAATTGTAGTCGTGAAAGTTGCATAAATTGATTTTCAGGTACTATTCTACATGAGCTTGTCCACAACTCCTACGGTCCTCATAACGCCACTTTTTATAAATGTCTTGACGATATCAAAGCGGAATGTGAGTTACTAATTTTGGGACATCCCTTGTCGTTGGAGCTCTTCCGTGGGAGGACCCAGGGATATGATTCGGGTAAGTTTTGGTATTATTATCGTCAGTGTGGGAAAATATACACCACATGTGTTGGTGGGAATATGTGTAAGTTTTGGTATTTTTTTGTTTTTTTACGCGAACTCATATGTAAAGTAGGAAACTCCTGAGCTCGGCTGAGGAAAGCGAACATATATAGCTTCAGTTTTGTTGTAGGATTTCTGGCATTCCTATCGAGGGTTATATATGGTCCGTTGGAAAACTATTATCATGGTCAACTACGTGCGTTGGTGACAATATGGATTTTTTTGGAAATTTTACGACAATTTTGGCATTTTTTGTTGATTTTTCTACGTTAACGAGAAAACTCCTGAGATCAGCAGAGGAAAGGAAACATATATTCCAATACTGTTGTTGGTAATTCTCATCGAAATTTATATGTGTTCATTGGAATATTATTATTATGGAAGTTTCACCCTAGTGATATGAAAATCACTAGTGAAAAAAAACCTATTTCACGACTACTACATACCATGAATTTCGTGTTTTACGCCACTTTACGTAAGGAAGGGTGAAACTCCAATATTGTAGGTGCTGCTTCGTCGAATAGTGACAAGCTGGTTGAGTTCAGCGCGGGAGTTGGTCGTAAGCGAACGACTAGGGGAAAAACGGCTCGAGTGAAGCGAGGCCGGGGGAGAAGGCTGGGCGGCGATAAGCAGGCCTATGCTGAGCTCTCACAAAGAGAACTTGCGAGGTGAGAAGATATTTACTACATTTACTTCGTTGGTGATAATGTGAGAATTTTAATTATAATATTTAATCTCGGAAAAAATAACACCCACTGGAGTTTCACCCGTTTTACGTGAAGTGGCGTGATACTCGCGATATTCGCGGTGATATGCAGTAGTCGTGAAACATGTTTTTTATATCACAAGAAACTCCATTGAAAATATTTTCAGAATGGCGGCGGAGCGACGCATGCGAGACGCCGAATTATGTGACACTCACGATGATGGTCCTGACGGTAGTGATAGTGGTAGAAGCGTTAAGAGGAAGAGAGGTATCTTAGGTTGCTCATTGAAAGATACAGATTAGGCCCGATATGATACTCAGGTTCGGAGAGAAACACTACTGCTAGTTCTAGTGCTTCCTCGTCAGAGAAGAAAATAATAGAACTTTCTGATAGTAGCGATGATGACGATTTGAGATGCCCATGGTGTAAAACGGTGGGGGAAAACGGAAAAAATATCCCGCATTTAAACGTTCGCGATACTAGCAGTTGTTATCAGAGTCGTGACGCTTGAGTGAAAAAAACAACATAATTACGCGCAAATAAGAAATTATGGATTTTTTCCTCGAAATTTCTTTTTTTTCGCATTTTTGTTGAGTTTTTTCCGCTGCTATTGCATTTATATGGCAGTTGCGACCATTGAGCGAAAGCGTGGGGGGAAAATATGTACATGTGTTGGTGACAATATGAAAATTATGGGATAAAATTTCGGGAAATTATCATTTATATGGAATATTACTCGAGTGTTCGCATATATAAATATACGATTTTTTTTTCATAAAATCCTTTTTTTTCAGTTTTTTTTTGAGAAATTTTTCGAATTTTTCAGGTAGCTTTCCATTGCCATCAGAGTCGTGGAAAGTGTGTCCAGCATGTGAGGGGCCTAACCCAGATCGAATGGGCCCGGGATGATGATGATGTTTATTACAGTGGAGTTTCACCCGTTTTACATAAAACTCGGTGAAAAAAGCGATATTCGCGGTGATATGCAGTAGTCGTGAA